GTTTCTTGCCATCCCTTTGGAAAAAAAACAAAACCTATAAGGGCCCAAAAAATAACCAATTTTTTTTTTTTTTTTTTTTAAGTAAAAAGAAGAAAAAAAAACAGATTATTGTTTTACCCCAAAATACTGCTAACCTCATGTTTGGTCTTGCTCTTCTGAACCTAAAACTGACGTGTCGTTACACCTTTAATCACGAGCTGGACAGGAGGCAGGAGAACAGGAGATTCCACAGCAAACCCAAAGCATCACTGCATTCAGAGGACTTGCCTTTCCTTCCGTTTACAGGAGGACCTTGGGGTTTCTCTTCGCTGTTAGCAGCTAGAAGCAGATCGACGCTCGTCAGACAATGAGGCCGTGAAACTTTGAAGCAACATAGAGCATCGTCCCACGGATCAGATCGCAAACACACCACTGACCCAGAGACTGTTTGCTTTAACTTTGAACGATACTTTGTTGAGTTATGCGCGCTGCAGAGTTTATGCTGTGGAGCTAAATTGAGGCCATGAAGTTTGTTCAAAAGAGAAATAAAAAAATAAAAAATAACTAACTGGAAAATATTTTGAAACTGAAAAAATAATCTGAAAGCAGTTTGGAACAATTTTTCTGTTTAATTCTTTTTCAGTTTTAATTTGTTTAAACTCTATGGCCCCAATTAGCTCAGTAACTTCAGGAAGTGTTTAAATTCATGGATAAGAGTTTGCTGAACATAACAGATGTAGAAGGAAGAAATGAGAAGGCAGATATTTTATGAGTTTATCAAGTTGGAGCCTGTAAACTCTGCCTTCTCATCTAATCCAAAGTGCACCTAGATTCATTTTTGAGGGTAATGCTTAAAAAAAACAACCCACATCTCTGCCAACATTCACATCATTCATTCAGGCTTATGGGTGAATGTACTGAAACTTCCAACAGTGCATATGAATCCCCTCCACAGACATGACCCGCTTTGGAAGTTCTTTTCATTAATAGCATTGTAAATAATTGATCCAAACGGTGTTTATTGCAAAAGGAACTCCACTTTAGAGCAGGTTTATGTGGAAGGTAACACACCTGGAGGAACACTGAGGGCTTCAGCTGCCCTGCTCTCCGGTCCTGTTCCCTCCGTTCCTGCTGCCTCTTCAGCTGGCACGTAAAGTTTCAAGAAAATGATTCACTTTTTAATTATAACGAGAAGCCACTGAACTTCCAACCACAGCTGGTAAGGACGGGCACACTTCATCAACATCATAGCTTCTCCATAGGAAGGAAGGAAGGCTACGTTACCTCAGATTGGGTAACTTAACCAGTTGATATTAAGCTTCATTGGAAAATGTCCTATTTCTAGAAATATTTCCCAACTACAGAAGTACAGTTGGTTAAAGACAAAAAGACACAGAAAGGAAGTAAGGATAAAAAAAGTGAAAATGATTCAAGTAGACACTGGTAGACCTAGAGAACTTAAGGAAAGTCCTTGTGGATTCGCAAAGTTCTCTAAAAAGATTCAACCCCACATCTATTTCTCTTTCAGTTTGTTCAATTCCTTCCCCAGAGGTCATGCAAAGCTAAAGAACTTCACGTTTTTTGTGCGTATAGAATTACTAATAAATTTACATTGATAAAACGACCGAGCAACAAAAAGAGTGGATAGTCCACACAAAGACAGTCAAACGAGCTCAGATAGGGGCTTTATGAAGAACCTGCAGGATCAAGACGGACCAGGAGGTCAGGAACAAACGAAGACGAGGCAAGCTGAGGGTGCGAAGAAGATATGAGGCACCGCAGACCAGGTTTGAGTTTTCATAGAGAGAAATACAACTCAACCAAAATGTTCTGCCTGATAGACTAAAAGCCATAAACCAGATACAAACCTTCATTTGACTGTGTTCCTTCATTTCCGTCTTCTGAGAGAGAAACGGAAATAAACCAAACGAGGGTGGATAGTGTTGTCACGAGAAAACAGAAACGCATCAATCAAACCATACGTGGAAACAACTCTGTAGACAAATAATCTCACATTTTTACGTCAAACGAGAATGTCAGGAGACCATTCCTAGGACCCAAACAGCAGAGTCATCGAGTGCTTATAGTAACAAAGTAGCATGGTTAGCTAACATCTAGTGACTTACTTCTATCTGTTCCTGGGGGTGGAAGCTGTGGGAGTTGGCGCCCTCGTCTACTGGACATGGGAGTACTGGTGGGACTGGTCTGGACAGATCCACTGCGAGGATGTGCCCTGAGTGACAAAAAGACACCAGCGTGAAGCAGAAGAAGAGAGAAGGTGGCGGATGTGGGGCAAGGCCATGTTGCACCCACATCACAGATTTACAGCAAAAACACCTTCTTTTTGTTAGGTCATGCCACTATAGTAGTGTTGAAATTTGATTTTATCTTGGGTCGATAATTCATCTGGTCCATTGTCAAATGACGCTGAATGATATTTGTAGGTGATTCAGACACATCAGTGCGGAGGATGATTAGGGCCACTGAAAAAAAAGAATAATTTTGACTTTTTTCTCATAATTTGGACTTTAAACTCAGAATTCTAACTTTTTTTTCAGAATTTGACTTTAATCTTCTGAGATCAAGAGTCAGAGTTCTGAGGGGAAAAAACGTCAGAGTTCTGAGATTAAAGTCAGACTTTTTTTTTCTTATTGGCAATAATCCTCTTCCGTACATCACTGGCGTTACAATAAAAGGAGACAATTTTATCCCTTTATTTCACTCTCACTCTCCGGGTTTTGAATAGATGACATTTTGGCACATGATATGGAGGCTGATGGTCACATCAACTGCAGGGAGCTGATCTGCAATAAAAGACGCTCGGTGTGAGACGAATGCATGTACAGTCGACTCATTGGGCTGCAGGGAGAAAAGAGTTCAATGCAGATCCAGCGGACCAGTGTGACCATGCGTTCATACCGTCTCTCAACAGCTTGAAATCAAACGTAAATTAAACAAAAAAATAAACAAACAAACAAAAAACACAATGCCATTGCAAGGATAACCAGCATCAGTTGATGTTAATAATGAAATCAAAGTAAAAAATATTACCCTCATCACTGCTATACTCACAAGTGTATGAGCAGTGTGGTGGAAATAATAATAATGATAATAATAAAAAAACGAGGTAGCAAGCTATCTAATGGGGTTAGGATTAATGTGCCTGAGTTATGTGTAAAGAAAATATAGAACATCCACAGTGCTGTTAGGAAATAAAGAGGGAAAAAGTGGCCAAGTGGGATTTGAAGATGGGGGGTTACTGAGGGAACGGGTAATGGAGTGAATTGGGGTGAGGAGGGTGAGGTAAAGTAAGGCAGGGCATTAGGAGAGGGACTGGAGGAGTTTTTAGTTGGGAAGCAGGGTTGGTTGTTCATACAGTATGAGTTAGTCAGGAATAGGTCGGGTACGAGCTTCAGGGAACAAGTCTCTAAGGCTGCGCTAGACTTTAGCTGTACAAACATTTTAACAAAGGTTGAGCAATGCTGGAGGATGAGGAAAAAAAATCTTGGTTGATTTAAAGGGGCAGTGTTACGTAAAATTGACTTTTCTGAGCTTTGCATCATATGTTGTAATGTTATTTTCTCATCAAAGACATACCTGGAGAATTGATTTGATTTTTTTTTCATGCATGTTTGAGCAATCCTTTAATTTCCATGGCGACCATTCAAACTGCACAAAACTTTTGGGTGAACTTAGCCCTGCTTTCAAGCCGCAGTTCCTCCTCTAAACCTTCGCATCACAGAGCAGCTCTCCTCTGTGACTCATTCACTCAGCTCCTTCAGACTAGCCAGCAGCAGTTAGCAAACATCTGGTGGAACTGTACATCGGCTGAGCTCCTTATAGGAGCTACTTCTCAGTGCAACACTTGTAAAAACGTTATTGAAGAGTTAATAAAGGAGCCATGTTGTGCTGACTTCCTGAAGGTGCTGTGTTGGAAAGAGTAGGACTTTCTTAAAGCGATAGAAGCCCAGTTTCAATTTTAAATTACTTAGTCACATTTCCTTTAAATCATATGTGAACTGAAGGTAACATATTTACTGAATTGACACTGTGTGGCTGGAAAACACATAGCACTGCCCCTTTAAAGCTCAAAATGATGGTATAGAACTAAAACATTCAGCAAATCGTTAAAATCAAGTTGAATTATCAAAGTACTCTGCTGGAAAATCACAGAATACCATGGGAAATCACATGGAACTGCTGCCTATTTAATTTCACACACTCATCCTCACAGTAAAAAAATGTTCTATTGCTAACGTCCCAGTATTAGCTAATCAAACTCAAATTTGTCGATTTTTGATTTAGGTGGCAAAACAGAAACCTACTTTTCAAATTTCTATTTTTTTTTTTACCCCCTCCAGTATAGCTCCGACTCTGGAAAATGACTGCGTAGCCAAAACCTCCAGCTAGTTGCTAAGTCTGCTTTCGCTAGCCTCTCCACTCTGGATCACACCTCGTCATGGCAGGGGAGGGGGGCGCGGACCTCCCAGACGGCAGAGACGGCATCGACCTCATGAGGGAAGAGTCGTGGGGGCGTTCGGTGGAGCGCGAGCGGGACGAGAGGCGTTCTATAGTGGGCCGCTGGTCTGCCGAGCGGGACCTGCTGTGAAACTCGTGTCTATCCATGGCTCCGTGGTTCCTACAGAGGTTGTTGAGAAACAGGCAGGCACTCAGTGTGACTCCAGCTGGGCTGGGACAGAAAGCGGGATTAGAAGAAGGCATGGTGAGTACGGAAAATGTTCGCTCCCTCTGTGTATGTTGGAGTGCAGGTTTGTACATTTATTATGATTTTGAAAAGTCGCTAAGGTTTTTTTTTTTTTAATAGGAAATTGGATCTGGAATGTGTTTTTTTTCTCTCTCTTAATTTTGAAAAATACACCAACAATGAAGAACATATGTCTTCATTACATCATTTGTTTTCATTTGGAGGTTTGTATTTCTAATGTTCATATTTAACATATGTGATATATTTATTTTACCTGGGTAAAGTTATAAAGAATTTTTGGCACTATAAATAAATTGCCTTTGTGTAAAAAATTAATATGCTATTACAGCTTATCCTTGCACTGAAAGTGAAAAAAAAACAGACTTAAAGATAGGTAATTTTTATTATGTTTCTTTTTTCATATTTGATCAAACTTGAGGGGAACGGTGTGAGCAGCGCATACACGAGTTTGTTTGACAGCGCTGAGACCCTCCTCCTGGCTCTGATTGGTCGATTCTGACTGGGAGCGGTGTGTTTCTGCAGATGGCAGCAGGACCACAGGAAGAAGGTGGAGGAGTTTGATTCTTTCACACATTATCTGTCTCATATTCTACTGTCAGGACATGGTGGCAGTTTTAACAAATCTGTAAAAAAAATTATAAAAGTCACCTACTGCAACTCTAATGCTGAAAACATTTAATCAATGGGGGGGGGAGTCCCAATTAAGAAATAACTTGTTTTAATCTAATCACTTGTGGCACAATTATGATTTCTGTCGCCAAGACAACATTTCACAAGACTGGAGCGCAGAGCGATATTTTGACTCTCTTCATACAATCTAGATCATTAACAGTCCTGGGTTGTTGAACACATTTTCTTCCCCATAAGATTTATTCCTGAGGAGCATGGCCAGGGAAAAAACCTGATTTGGTCACATTTTTAGGATAATTTCCCAGCGTAAAACCCATCGACAACGCATTTTTAACCAAGTCCACCAAGGATTCTTTTTCTCTTTCGTTTAATTTCATTAAATTATTTCTGTCCTCCTGCATCATTTCAGGCATAGCATATGCATCAGATTCTTTACCAAAAACACTCTGGTATTTCAAAGAGTTCATGACGCCGTTAGCTGTAGCCAGGTCCCCGGAGCTTTTGGAGGAGAAACACGCAGACAGTGTCACAGAGCCTCCGCATAACTTAACAGTGGACATGAGACTCTTTCATATTCAGCCTTTTGTTTCACTCCGAACCCACCTGGAGAGTTTAGTGATGCTAAATATCAATCTTAGCCTCACTTGACTGAAGCATATGGTTCCAGTTAAAACTCCGTATGTTTATGTTTGTGACATTAGGTCAGAAAATGGGTTTTCCCTGGCACGCGTCCCAGTCGTGTGTTTTTAAGGGGTCGTTATGTTCATTGCTAATTGAGCCAGCAGGATTGATTTTTCTAGCATTAAATTATGTCACTGGAATAACAGTTAAATTCACTTGAAGGGTTTTTACCAGAAGTGTAAACACATTTGTCCAGATGAGTGTTTAAAGTGAGAAATTATTCGGAAATAATCTAAAAACGGCATGCAAAGTGTTACCGTCAAATTTCCTAATAATAATAATAATAATAATAATAATAATAATAATAATAAACAGTAATGCATGCACAGTAGATAACTGTCTTAACAAACCAAAATGCTTTTTGTTTGGTCAGCTAACAAGCCTCTTTTTGTAAAGTTTTTTTTTCAACATTTTCATGCTATTTGTTCATTTTATGGTTGACTTTACAAATTCATTGTAGTCAGAAAGACCTAAACTGAAAGAACAGCCACGTTCTTTTATTGCATTATTTTTCACCTAAAGTATGAGATGTGAAGAGAAATGTGGCGTGTAACTGCATGTAAGTTGGAATTTGCTTTTGATGCATTTATTACTCTAAAACATTTGTGTTACAGTCATGGCACAGTGTGAAGGAGGAAAAATATTGTCCTTTGAAGCTAGAAGGAAAGAGACGGTGAGGTTTCACATTTTGTTAAAGAAGCCACACACAGTGCAGACGTGTGTCATTAACCGTTACAAACAGGAACCAAAGAAAGGAGGTAAACTGAGAGCACGCGTGAAAGTAGTGCACAAAAAAACTTAATCACAGTCTAAAAAACGGAAAATGTTGCAAGGGGGTTAGAGCATGCACGTTGTTTGATACTTGAACAGAATTTACCTGCTTTTTATCAAAGATCCAAAGACATCAGAGTTTGACTCCATTAGAACAAAATGGATCAACATGGACCTTTATACTCATGTTTACAGAAAACTCAGTTTGTTTGTCTCAGATACGTTTTCATGGTTATTAAATTGAACAGAAAAGAGTTAAATTCAATCAAACTATAACCCATAATTTTGAAACACAGATTTTAAAAAACAGAAATGAAACAATGTATTCTATTTTCCTTTTCGTGTCAAAACCTCCAGCTGATGGTTGAGTTTGGCAGTTCAGTTGTCCAGTAGAGGAGATGTCCTTTCAGATTACAACAGGTAGAAAACGACATCTCAGTGGTTATCATGGTGATACAACATCCAGAAAACACATTTTGCCACTTTTAATTCCTCCAACCGCTGCTGCAGGATCATTTGAGAAGCTTAACACTAGCCTGCTTAATCTATTTAAAAAACAGTTTTGATGCATGTCCAATCACATAAGCCACTGGAACATCTGTGTCAGCCGCTGCCTACACAAACAATACAAATACAGAGAGAAATATTTTTTATGGCCTTGAAATTTCTCCACAGTTTTCTCCCTGACCTGTCTGGTGTGTTTCCTTGGACTTTTCAGTTTTTTATTTGTAAAAAAAAAAAAAAAAAAAAAAAAAAAAAAATTAAAAATTAAAAATTTTTTTCTACTTCCCCTTTTTATACCCTTTTGTGTTGGTCTTTC